GCGTAACATAAGCTTATATAAATACCATCAACCGAAAGGCGGTTATACGTTTGGTTTCAAGTAGATTGTTTGAAAACTGACATTAGTTTCCATAGCGAAAGGCAGATGTGTTGGGTATATGGACATGTTTATACGGACTCGACTGTTGATGCTCAAGAATGATTAAGAATTGTCAATATATTCATTCTAGGGTCTAATACATATTTCTTGACAAATAAATGAAAAAACTTTATATTATTTTTTTTTATTTTATTCGCATTGGAATTTGTAAAATTGACTCAATTTTAATTTAATTTTATATTTATTATAAAAGCGACAAGTTTCTAACAAGCAAACAGTAAGTTGAAAATTTAATCAAATTGTTTAGAATAGAAATACATTTTATTTTTCGTCAAAATATAAACATTTTGAAGAATTCAGTCAGTTATAAATATATATATATATATATTATTGCCAGTTAAAGTAAAACGTTTGCATGTTGGAGCAGAAGCGTTTAGACAAATAATTTTTTCTGTTGAATCAATTGATAAAAGGCTCAATTTCCAATACGAATATCTACGTTTAAAACTTTACTAATTTGAGCCGAGTAAAGCCGGATAACACATATTTACAAAGCAATTTTGTTTCTAATTGTTATAAATGCGCGGATCAACTTCAATTCAAAGAAGCTTAAGATATATAAATAAATAATAAATTTAAAAATTAAAAAATAAAATAAAATAAAACTTTATTAAAACAAAAGAGCAGTACATATGAATGCTAAAAATACGACTAGCAGCCTAAGCTACCCGCCCATTTTCAGTACAGGGCATTTTTGGGGCATGGCTAACTACGTGAGCTTGCGTTGTACTAGTTGCTGTTGTTGTTGTTGTTGTGGTGTTGCTGCCAAAGCTTAATACAAATATGCATGTTAACAGGCATCTACTTAAGCAGCTTGCCACGCCCCCCGCTCCAACTGCCCTGCCCAGTGCTGTCGTCTTCTACCCAGCTCCGGTATTCTGCCAGTGTATTAATGTTCATTGAAGCGATCAAAATCAAGTCGACTACGGCTAATGCTACGCACATTTTTTGCCCGATCCTGTGAACTTTTGCTTGTTATTTGCAATTTGCTTCAGCAGCAACAATAACAACGACCCGCAATGGCAACAGCCTCTGAATTTTTTTTATACCCTGCACTCATTGAGAGTAAGCTAAAAGGGGATCTTAGTCATATCTGCTGTCGATTTTGAAAGGCAACAGAATCTAGAGTCTTGCACCATTATCTTTGTATTCTGATATATCAGAAAATTTTAATTTTCTTCTGTATCTCCTCTCGGTTAAGGCATAACTCGGGAATCAGATGAGCTGCTGCTCTGCACTTTGGTTTGCATACTCTTTTGTAAGCCATATATGCACCCTTAAAATTTCATAAAGATCGGACCTGAAGTACCGAAGTTAAACGCGAAAGCATTTCCCATGAAACGGGCGAAAGGGTAGAACAAATGGAAAGCTTTCGGTGTTCATGTGTTTTTGTCTATGCAGAGAAGAAAGCTGAAATAATCTTAGCGCTGAATTCCGGGTATTTCGTGGTCTGATACTCCCGACCAGAACACTCTTACTTGTTATACACTGTGCAGTCAGTTTTGTTTGTTTTCCTGCCTTCGGTTTTTTAAGGTCGTTTACAGCAAACATTTCGTCGGGGAATGTGCGTATGCCTTGTGTGGAGTGGGGAAAGGGCGAGGGTTAGGAGCTGGGGGCTGGGGGTGTGTTGTTTCAAGCAAATGTATGTTATTATTATGGGGCATGTTGTTAACTACCCATAAGCAAACGCACAATTTTGTTGCTGCTGTTGTACGCTTTAGCATAAAACGGATTTGTGAAATCGCTTGGAAAAAATATAATCAAAATTGTTTTCAAATGACTTACAATTGCGATTGGGGCCGGGCCAGAGACCAGTCCGAAAAAGCAGTCCGGCGTAGCACGTAATTATGCGGCTGGGGTGTTAACTGTCAGCCAATCGGCATCCGTTTGCAGGGCCCGTAATTTAAGCCACGCTATTGCCGTTGACAACTAGAAAAATTGCCTTTTTATGGTACGCAGCGTGGGAGCTAGAGGGGCCAACTCCAACTCAACGGAATGTGTCCACTCCGCCGGGCTCGACAATTGGAGCTTGTCTACTGCTGTTTTTTCGGTATGCGTTGAGTTAATAGCAAAGCGTGGAAATGCCAACCGACTTTTATTATTTGCCCCGACAACTGCTAGAGGGAAGCGGTAAGTGTGGGCTTGGTCTAACACAGTCCTTTGGCAATTACTTTGTGCGCCATTGTTCGCCCTCTGCCTTACCTAACACAAATTGTAGATAAAATATGCCATATATTTACAGTTTCACAAGGGGTATTATTGCACGGAATAAATGATATGGCTTGCATAATAATAGTGTTCGATTCGCTCTGTAAAACGATTTTCAGAGAATATAATTAGTTTTACTTAATTATGCTTGTCACAAACACGAAAAGCTATGTCGAATTTAAATACCAGTGTTGGAAAACTATCAACTAACTATCAATGATGGATATGGTGTTGATTAACTCAAACAATTTTGCTTATTAATTATGGAACTTCGCAAGAGTCATGACAGCCAGCAGCTGCTTTTTACTAATAACGTTGACTAATTCTAATAGTGTTGGAAAACTCTAAATAATTTTACGTTGCAGTGGCTTTAATAGTCAACAGCTGTTATATGTCAAGTATTGTTGATTTATCTTAAAAACAATAAATTATGGAATTTCTCGAGAGTCCTGACAGTCAATAATATCGCATGATTTAAATTATAGTGTTGGAAAGCTATTAATAATTTAACCTTGCAATGGCCATAATTTAAATTAAATTTTGTATAAAAACAATCAATTGAAGAACTTCGTGAGGGACATGACAGCCAGCAGCTGTTATCAAAATAATGTTGACTAATAGAAACACTAGTGTTGGAAGGCGTACTTTGCAATGTTTTTGAGATTGATAATTATTTATTACGACAAGGGTTACTGAGTGAGAAGAATTCTGTAGAATTATCCATAGAAAAACCTAATTGAAAAATGCAGCTATCAACACTAACTCAGCATTTAAGACAGTTTTGCAACACTGGCATTTGATATCTCAGCACAGATTAACCTCTATTTTTTTGCTTTTGATCCTACACAACACACTCACAGCTCTTATCAACACTAACTCAGCTAACCATAAGATAGCTTGGCAATGCTGCATTTTCAAGTCTACTTACTTATAAATCCAGCTCTCAAATTCAAGCTTATCTTTTATTCACACTTTTTGTTTAGATAAAATACTTAACTATTTGATATCTCAGCATAGATTAGCTTCTACTTTTTTGCTTTTGATACCGCACAGCACACTCGCAGTTCTTATGCCCATCTGCCCAACTACAGTTCTATGGAATGCTACTTGGAATCAGCCCCACTTGCCCGTCAACTCTCGCCGCCTCTCTCCCTTCGCCTGCTTCAGCTGCTGCTTGTCATTTTCAATATTTTATGATGGCTGCCATTGAACTCTCCATAAAGCGCACATAAATTCACAAAACGTAGCCAATGTAGCTGCCCCCGAAACTGTAACAGAAACTGAAACTGAAACTAGAACTGGGACTGGACCACTGCCTGGCATTTCTTCGAGATGTGCTTCGAACAATGCAGCAAAATGTTGTGGCGCAAATGCCATATACAGTGGCCCCTGCCTTTGCTCTTCAATAGCCCCTCCCCGTGCGAAGGCCAATGTCCCTGTACTTCGCATAAAGAGCAGCGCGAAGACAAAAAACTACGTACACATCATCATTGTCAATTGCCGGATGTGGGCCAGAACCTGGCCAGCTGGATTCGTATCGGCCACAGCCAATGGCTAAAGGGGCACTGCTAAAGTGGTAGGATGTGGAGGGGGCGGGCTAACAACAGCGGCCAAGCGAGCAATCGCTGCTGCTGTATTCATTGTTGCCACGTAATTGCATTTCGCTATCGCAGATATTTATAGCCTCCACTCGGTCAAGAGCAGCTCCCAGCTTGGACACAGCAGAAGCTGGGGCAACAGCCAGCCAGTAGCAGCCAATCGCCAGCAGCTTCTATGTTGGCAACAGATTTTTTTTCTGTTTGGTTTTTTTCACAGCAAATGCGGTCAACCGCAAAAGCGCAGCAGCAGTCGCAGCGGCAAAGTCTTTGCAAGAATAAGGGATAAGGGCGTTAGAGCGCATTTGTTGCTGTTGCAGCTCCTGCTACAGCTGCTGTTGGTGTTGGGCATTAGTCCTGGCCAGGCAAATAAAAATAAGCAATGCTTGGTCGCGCTTTGTCATTGCTGTTGTTCTTGTTATGCCCTGTAACTATGGCCAATGCTCAAGACTAGGGTATACAGCAGTTGAGCAAATTTCACAGCTGAAGAAGGTTGAATTTCGATAGAATCAGCGCAGCTTCTTGTGTCATGGTTCATAGGGTTCGATATGCACCTCTTGATCCTCTAGATAAATAAGGCATCTTAATCTGAAAGCATTATTCTTGCTTAAAATTCATGTGAAATAGGGCGCACATTTTCCACCCACGTAACTAGATCAAAACTCAAGCGATTTTACATATGGTTTGTCTTTTTGTTCATGGTTTGATCTCTAGATCAATTTGGCATCGAAATCTGGCAACATTATTCTTGGTCGAAATTTATATAAAAATGGTAGATAAAAATATCCTATATATTTAGACATAGGTCAAAATTTGCAGCCTTTAAGCTCGGTAAAAGCTCATCTAAGTTCCAAGAGGGTTGGTTCTTCGTTTATTTATTTATACGTACTTCGGGGTATACCCGGTATTATACTATAAATGGCTCTATATAATTTATAGAAGCGCACTTTTAGATTATTTCTTGGAGAGTTCAAGAGTTTGGGGCCCTACAATTGTTGTATTAGATCTCTTATAGGAATACAAAAAAGGCCGAATAATTTCCGCTTTTGGCTATACATACATGAGAGTCTCTGAAATAACTGAAAATTATCAAAATGAAACACAGAAAATAATCAAAATTGAGTTTTACACAAAGCAAGCTATTAGCATCTAGTTACAGGGCATCTGTCAGTCGACCACTCTCGATATAAGCGCGCTGACTTGCTGGTGTAGTTGTCGTTGTTGTTGTTGATTTTGTCATCATCACGAAACACATTGAACATCAAGCGCTGAGCACTGGACATTGTCATTGCATTTCGCAGCAGCCGAGCAGTCCTGCAAGTAGAATATAATTTTCCTTTCGTTTCTTTACTTATTTTAATTTTTTTTTTGTTTCTTTTTTTGGCTCAATTCTCCCTTGGTTTTGTTGCTTTTGCCACTTATGTATATAAGTAGTACGAAAGGCACTTGCCAGCTGCAGCGCATTAGTGGCCACTTTAACAATGACCGGCAGAGGCCAATTTTTATTGAATCGAGGCGTCATCCGACTCAAGTGTCCCAGTTTGAATGACGGCTTATGCCCTGCAGCTGAAGCTGGAGCTGGAGCTGGTCCAGGATCTGGCCTGTTGTGACAGTGATAAGCTCCGCTTTCAGCTCTCACTTGTGGGCGGTTTTTTAAATGAGACCAGGAGAGCTTATAGGTGCACATGGCGTATACGCAACGTAATATGCAAGTGCTTTGTCTCAACTCAAGTGCATGCAACAAACTCTGCTCCATCAATTTATTATGTCTTACAACTGCCAAATGCCAATTTGACTGCTTGAGATCATTTTGTACGTTCATGCGGGCCTTTAACATGGGTTTGCATTTAAAATTCATTCAGAAACTAAATTGTTTTTATATTTTTGAGAAAATATGGCTATGCCTCAGACCATTTTGCATATTATTTGCGCATCAGACTTGTTTTGCATATTCAAAAAATATGCACTTAAACCAGAATTGATTTGAAATTTTCGAATAAAAATAGATTACTCTTTTTTCTTATTCAAAATTATTTTGAATTTAGTGTCTTATTAATTCCGATTTTACGTATTTATATCTATTTTTAATTTTATCTTTTTAATTAAATTATTAAATTAAATAAATTATTTTGACCATGCTTAATTATTTGAATTTAAATCCAATTTATTATATCTGGAATATAAAATATTTAATATTATATATTTGAATTGGGAAAAGAAAGTTCCTACTTTTCCTTAGCTTCAAGCATTTGTTGAGGCAACATTTGTGCGTATTCTGAAAAAATTATTTTTGTTTTCAATTCGTTTATTTTTTTCGAATTTATTTCAAGGCTTATTACTTAAGCCTTCTGCTGCTTTTAATTATAGGTATAATTTCTATTTGAAATAAATTTTTGTTGCCATTTGAGGTGCTCAGTTTTTGGTATTTAGCAAGTTTTAGCAACTTGATGCTGTTGCGTTGGGGCTGAAATGAAAATTTGACCTCTGCTTTCGGCTGTTACAAGCAGCAATTGGCGTATAAATTTCGAGCACACATACACACACACACAAACACACACACATACACTGTTACAAGCATGTAAATGTTATTGCAAGCATAATTTTCTTGGCTGCCGAGTGTGTGTTGCTGCTGTTATTGTTGCTGCTGCTACTGTTGTTGCAGTTGCAGTTTTTGCACGTTATACGAGCCATTTGCAGCCGGCAACTACATGCGACTGCATTGCGGCAGTTGCCGTTGCCTTTGCCATTTGCTATTGCTCTGTTGCCTCCATTGGTGGCACGGTAATTGCCATTGCAACGCTGTGTGTATATGTGTGCGTGTGTGTGTGCTGCCAGGCGGCAAGTAAAAGTCAGTTTTAGGTAAAAATTTTCTAAAAATAACAATGCATAATTTACGTTTTGGCCGAAGTCAAGGCAATGTTACCAACTGCAGCAGCTGGCAATGGGCAAACTAACTGCCGCCTGTCTAAATAATAAATAGAAAAGGATATGCGAATGCTGGCCCAGGACCTAGTTGTTGCTGCAGTTGTTGCTGTTGTTGCTATTGTTGCAGTTGTTGCAGTTGTTGCAGTTGTTGTCGTTGTCATTAGCCGTTGTGCAAATAATTTACTTTACCACATTCACTTCGATATCTAACCAGTTTGATGTTGCCCCTGCTGCTGTCTGGCTGCCATTAAAGCCGCTGTCACACATATTGAACACAGAGCAGGGTGTGCTAGTGTGTGTGTGAGTATGAGTATGTGTGTGTGTGTGTGTGTGTGTTGCACTTATTGATTTCAATTAACATGCAACAGCATGTCTCTTTTGTGTATAAATACACACACACGCACACACAGACAGACTGTCTATAGATATCAGGCTGCATTGTTGCACGAGTCGTGCGGCATGCAACATTCAGTTCTGGTTGTTGTTGTTGTTGTCGCTGCCTGGCATCGTCTCTGGCTTCTGTAGCTGCTGCTATTCAATCTTTTCGTTGGCTAATGTTACACTTGTGCATCGTTACAATTTTGCAGCATGTGTGCGCTCCATATGCGTGTGTGTGTATGTCTGTGGAAGAGGTCACTGCTGCTGCTCTTCTTTCAATAATTATCAATTTGTGTGCCTGTGTGTGTGTTTGTGTGTGTGTGTGTGTGTGAGAGAGAGAGTGTGTGTAGATCTGGCATGTTTTGTTTATTTACTTGTTTTTTGGTTTAAGGCATTTGTTGGGCAAACAGTGCGTATGCGTGTTGTGTTTTTACTGTGTTGTGGTTGTTAGCTCTCACTGCTTCTCAGTCTATTCTGTGCCTTTAAGTTCGGCCTATAAATTGTGGGCCTAGCCTCTGACATTCGTTGATACTAATACTATGCGCCCTAAGCTCTGGACAGCTGCAATCTGCGTAGCTTGTTGTTCGACTGATTAAAATATTTGTTTTATGTTCCACTTTTGTTGCATGCAACTAGCTTAGCCCAAGAGAAGTGCATACAAATTTCGAGCTGAGCGGGTTAACTTCTAATCGATTGCATATAAAGTTATGTTTAGAGTGAAGTATGTTACTTCAAAGGGCTTAAAGAAGACTCCATTGAGCACAGGCACTGCATGCGGCATATTAAAAATAATTAGACTAAGGTTTTAAATACTTATAATTCTTTCGAATCTTGTTTTCCAGAATTTCAATATTTTGAAACGTTTTTGAACAGAAATGTGCTCCCAATTTAGGATACGTTTATCTTAACTTCTTCTTTGATAAAGTCACATACAACATTTTTCTTCTTATGTTTTTAGACTCGATCCCTTAACTTCGAGCGTCTCCTCGCCGACAACCATTTTTATACCATTTGTATTATTTCTTATATATTATTATATATTAATTATATATTAAATATTTTTTATAGATTTATTCACTGTGAATCATCAGCAATTAAGGAAACAAAAATAAAACAACAAATTTTTATCATACTTTGAACCGGCGACTTTCCGCGTGCTGCTCCGACGCTCAGCTCCTTTCGTTATGCGCATCAATTACCAATCGGTAAGTCAGTAAAAATTGTTTCAAATGCAACTATTCGCTTTTTTCTTTTTATATATACACATAAATATGTGCTGGGGTAATTACACATATCATAATTTCCAATTAAAACAAATGCGTTGCTCAATTTTTATTTTAATGTTTAACTTTATTTTTATGAAACTTAATATATAAATTGCAGCTATATACATTGCATATAATAATTATGTGCTTGGGCTGTGTATTTGTTTATGTATTTCTTTGACATTTGGTTAATAAGTTAAGTTTAAATTTGACTTTGCTTCCATTTGCTGCTTTAGCTTTGCTCTGTTTATAACTACGACTTTGCTTTTGCTTATGTTTTTTTTTTTTTTTTTTGGGATGAGGTTTCCTGGCGAATGCTAATGAAGCCAAATATATGTGAGCAAAATAATATATTGTACGGATTTAGCATGCGTTGTTCTTTAAGCTATTGTCTTGGTTACTAAATACTTTAATGTTGTTCGATTCGCGTTCATTTTGCGGGCTTGTGGGCTTTCATTCTATATCATTTTGTTAAGGCTTCGCTGTCTCTACTTTTGTTCAGTCTTTAAAGTCAACTGTTTAACAATATATGTGTGTGTGTGTGTGTGTGTGTACGAGTGCCTCTGTGTGTGTGTGTGTGTGTGTAAGTATTTCTTAATATTCTTTGTGCATACTTAACGCTGTGTGGCAAGCCTTTTCAACCCGCCGTTATGGCGGCTTCTCGCTTCTCGCTCCTCGCTCCCTTGGCTCCTTTTGGCTCCTGGCTGCTGGCTTCTTGCTCATTACGCCGCGATTTCTGGATGTTGGCCCAACTGCCTTGGCTTTTGTGTGCTTTGTTTTTTTTTTTTTGTTTTTGTTCTTTTTTATCATATTTTTTATTTGTATTATTTAAAAGCCCAATTTTTTTAAAGCTTTGAGGTCTACGTCGCCGTAGTAATCCTCGCTATAAAGAAATAAGAAAACACAAAATATTAAAACCAAAAAAAAAAAGAAAGGAATGAAAAGAAACATGCATAAATATAAATTTGTTTGTTTTACGCTGCGTATACGTAATATTCACTAATTTCTGGTTTGGCTTTGCGTTGATTTGTTTAATTAAATTCTTCTGCTGTTGCGACTGCCACGCTTGACACAAGTGTCGTGTGTGTGTGTGCTTGTGTGTGTGTGTGTGTTTGGTTAGCTGGCCAAAATTATTTTAAGTGACAGAGAGAGGATTTTGTAAATTTTTTTTTGTCGACGCTTTGTGGCATGCTGGCACATTCTGATTGCTACTTTTATAAAGCTATGCCCCGCCTGAAGTGCCCGTCCTTTGTCTAATAAATCAACAAAAGATTTTTTCATGAAAACCATAATTAAAAAAAATAATATTGTTAAAAACTTGTTAAGAGAGTGGCGAGTGGCGAAGCTCTGCTGAAAAGGCGAACGCTACTGTACAAGGATTTGCGTCACAGTCAACTGAATGGGATGGCGCAAGGGCAAAGCAACAGGACATCAAGGATTAAAAGAAGATGCTCGCTTGTTGTTTCCTGGCATCCCGCATTAACAACAACATCAACCGCACACACACAAACACAGACACACATAAAGACCATAGGGAAACAGCAAATTGCCTTTAGAGCGACGGACTCGGGAACGGGCAGACGCTGTCAGGCATCAACAGCAGCAGCAGGACATGCACGCAGCGCTCTTCATAGAAAATGCGCGATGTGGTCTGGTCCAGCAAATGACAAAATGCGCAAAGCTATTAAATTAAATTAAATGGAATTGGGCAAAACCCCAGGACATGGCATTCTAAGCTAACAAAAATATGAACGGAAATTGTTTGGCCATCTTTTTGTGTATTTTTTTTTTTTTTTATATAAAATTTATTTTTTATACTCTCCGGCTAAAGGGTATTACAATAGTGTCGCGGCATGTGTGACGCATGGATGAAAGGATATCAAATATGTATATGAAACTATATATGTATAACAATTCTTGATCTGCATCAGTAGAGATTTTATAAAGTTGCACTTTTTTCTAGCAGTTTATATGCCAGTTTCAACCAGAGATCAGTATATTATTAAGTTGCCATAGAAACGATCGATTGAAAGGGAGTTTAAGTATGAACAACTTTTTGGACTCTTTACAATGCATCTGCCTAGGCTCACTTTTAGGTTGAAGGCTGTCATATAAACTGTCGGTCGATAGTCAAGTTCTTACATATCACGATATCTTTGTTTAAGCCAAGCTCAGCAATTATCTAAAAGTGTATCTAAACTTCGGCGATAGTCTTCGGCAGATGGTCATACTTTAGTTTACTTTTTTGCACATTGTTTGTTCTGTGTTCCAGCTAATGCGCTCTCGCATGGATAGCCGGTCTGTATATATGCCAGCATATTGTGTATTTATGTGGTCCGTGCTGCTTAGTATTGGCAGGCAGTTGGCTGCTGTTAGTTTTGTGTGCTTGCTGTGCGTTTATAAGATCATTAAAATTAATTAGAGTCAAAACGTTAAAAGGATTTTCATAGCCAGCACAGACGCAGACAAGCGGACAGATGGCGAAAGCTAAAGCGCGCTTATTATCCATCAACAGCAGTTGCAGTAGCAAAAGCACTAGCAGTAGCAGCAGCAGCAGCAGCAGCAGTAGCTGTATCAGTAGAGCTAGCAGCAGCAGCAGCAGCAGCAGTTGTCCTGCTGTAAGCCCTGGACCCGGACCCGGACCCGGACACGACTCTATTTCTATTTGCCTCGGAATATCTTGTGCTTGTGGCAGAGCAACTGTTGCTGCTGTGGCAGCCGGGGGTTGTCCAACTTTGTTTAATCATTTATGTTTATAAAACACTTTTATGTGCTTGGCGTATTTTGCCGTCGCCACAAAAATTCTGCTCAGTTGCAGCAGCAGCGGCAGGGCAAAGGACTCGTTGCCAGTGCAACAACTTTTAATTGGAGATTTGCAACAACTGCATGCGACTGTTGTAAGGCAGGTGAAAGCAAAATATGATAACAAGAGCTCTGTTCTTGCCGGGATTTGTGTGCGTATATCCCCCCCCCTCTCTCTCTCTCCCTCTCTCTTTCTGTCTGTTGCCGCAGTTTTGAGCTGAGGCGAATTATGTGCATTTCGGTCACTTTGTACTAATTTTCAAAAATGGTGCAGTCCTTTACGCGCGCCGTTAAACATTCGCCAGTAAGTTCTGCCCCCGCACACACACACACACACACACACACACACACACACACACACACACATACACACACACACACACACTCTAACACACAGGCTAACTAAATGTGTGCTTTTGCCTTGGCTGCGCCTTGAGTTCCTGCAGTTTTATAATTTTTATTTAATTAGTTTTAAAACTCTTTCAAAAATGTGGCAAGTGTAGGCGAATGTGTGTGTGTGTGTGTGGCTATGCACACACACCACACACACACTCACGCACATTTAAGCACACACACGCAAAAGTCAAGGCATAGTAAAGTTTTGCCCACTTTTATGATTTAGTGGGGCAGCCAACCGCCCGCCTGCCTCGCTGTCGCTGCCCACGTGCTAGTGTGTGTGTGCGTGTGTGTGTGTGTGTCTGTCTCTCTTCCTGTGTGTGTGTGTGTGTGTGTGTGTGTGTGTGTGTGTGTGTGTGTGTGTGTTGGTTCTGCCTGCAATTGTGTTGATAATTTGAAAATTCATTTAAAGTTTTTGTATCGCGTTTTTGTTTATAGAATCTAATGAATAATTAACAAAGTTCTTGTGCATTTCAAAAGATGTCAACGACGCTGACGCCGCAGTCGACGCCGCTGCCGCTGTCGACGCCGAATTGGCAAAGACTTCCTGGGCAGTCGAAATGGCTGCCAACTTTTCATTTGCGACAAATATGGCTGGCGTCGTAAAGTTTTCTGTTTACTTATTATTTGCAGACTCTACGACTTTAGATGGCAAACTCAGCCAAACGAAATAGCGCAAAAACACACGCCCCCCAGACACACCCCCAAAACACCACCCCCAACACCCCGAGCCCGCCTCATGTGCCAACAGCCCAATGGCAAAATTATAAATAATTTACGAGTGTTTACGAGTTTTGCTCGTACTTTTCCCAGCCAAAAATTGTTCGACCTCTAGTTGCTCAAATAGAGCTTTAACTCGTGGGGTCGCTCGGGCAGCTCAACTTTGGGCTAGGTCCTGCTCGGTTTTACTTTCAGTACGTCTTCAGATTGGGACATCAAGAGGTATAGGTAAAAAATATGATAACGATTTGGATTATTTGAAGTGTATGAAATTTAAAAACTCTAAGATTTGATAGTCTAGTCGAAAAATGTTACGTACTATAAACTCGATGCTCAGTATCACAGCTTCAGCTTAACGAAAAAACTCTGATAGTTCATCAACTTTTAATGTTGATAAATGTCAAGATCTTGAATAAAAATCTTAGTTGGCCACACACTCTTCTTTCTTTATTCCGAACTAAAGCATTTTTATGAAATAAATACCATGAGAGAAGTACAAATTCTGTTAAATGGACTAGTTGGTGTGATGAGGATTATGAAAGTTTAAGGCTTCATTTCAGATATGATTTGAGCTTGATTAGGCAAACATCTTTAACAATTATCATTAAAGTAATTCAAAAAGGAACATTTTACAAATGAATTGAATTTACCGAGAAATAAGCAACAGCTCATATTAAACTTTGACTTGACTTCTTTTATAGATGCATGTGTAGGGATTCGCATAGATTCGTATATAAAATTAATAACTTAAGGCGAAACACCCCATTCTTTCTTAATTTAAGAAGCTTTACATCTTTATGCAAAGCCAGAAAATACGTTTCTATTCAATCGGAATCTAACGTAATAAATGTCGCATAAAAATAACTAAATTTGTTGGTTTTTTGTTTTTTAGTTTTTTGTGTATATTTTTTGTTTTTATGTATAAAATAAAATTATAAGCTTATAAACAAAGATCACTTAAATGTACAAATCTCTCAATTTTACTCTTCAATTTGAAAGATATTTTTCTCTCTCTCCTCGATGTTGTTTACACTTTTGTTTTTTCGCACATTTCATTACACAACATGTTCTCAAGATTTTCAAAAATTTGGAAGACACCGAACATATATATGTATATCTATCAACAATTTGACTCATGAATAGGTTAAACAAAAAAATAACGAAAGGATAGAATGAAAACTGATGTGATATATAGTAGAAAATAGATTGATTTTGAGTATTTCTTTTCTTTTCATTCAATTTTTGTTTTTTATCAATTTGTTAGAGGTGACTTTGTGATATGTGAGAGTAGGAAAGTTGGGGGCCAAGGAGTTGAATTGATATTGTTGTAGTTGTTGTAGTTTCTTTTTGTTCTTGTTATAGTATTTCTTTTTCATTTTTTAATTGTTTTTTTTTTTTTTTTTTATTAGTTGTTGTTATGTTTATGAGGTGGCAGCTTTGGTTTTGGGCGCGCTCTTAGTGCGACCTTCAGTGTTCAATCCAGCTAGAAGCTCGCTTTTGCGGATGCTCTTCAAGTCCAGATCACCATAGTAGTCTTCGCTGCAATTGTAAAGGGACGAGGTAAAGACATATGTGAGAATAGGCCAAGAGAAATGTATGTAAATGAGTGTGACTGTGTGTGTGTGTGTGACTGAGTGTGTGTGTGTGTGTGTGTGTGTGTGATAAGAGGTTAGTGAAAGAATCGAGTCTGTTGTGATGGGTGCTAACGAGAGGCGGCTTTGAGTTGTGGACTGTGGTCTGTGGTGCAAGCGTGGCAAGGTACATTCGAAACTCAAAATCAACGTTTCCAAGCAAAAACAATTAACAACAAAAACAAGCAAAACCCAAGTGCTTAATATAGTGTATACACGCATAAGGTCGATAATAAAAAGCAAAACAAAATAAATAGTCAACTTACCAGCCGGGAACATCCTCAGGATCCTCGCAGTTGCCGGTGCCATCGCTGTCGCCGATCTTGAAAACTGTGCCGATGGGGCAGCCATATTCGCGTGCCACGCCCTCCAGGCAAATATAGTACTTGCGGCAATCCTCGGGATGTGCATGACGGGAGAACGAGCCGGTATTGGCCAGCTCACCAGCTGCCGGGCAGGCAAAGCCATTGGCAACCTCTGCAAGCATTAAACATTTAGTTAAAGGAAACAAAATGTTGGCAGTTCAGTTTTTAAACTCACCTTCGTTCTTGCACTCGGGCACCTGGTCGGCCCACATGCAAACGCGTGCATCACGATCGTAGGCCAGACCGGGTGAGCACTGGTATCTGGATGGCTCGCCGTTCCAGCAGTTCCAGAACACATCGCACTTGTTCTCATCGGGGAAGATGCCGTACAAACGCGAGCAATGCGGCGTGGTAATTGGCGGCTCTGCACAAAAAACATTCATTTAGAATCTCAGATAAGACGTAGATCTGTTTTTGAGTGTTAACTCACCCAGCTCGGTGCGTTCGCCGCACTCGACATTGTGCAGATAGTCGCAGTTCTCCGTGAGGAATTTTGAGTCTGTGGCATCGAAGGCCAGGCCATTGCCGCAGGTCTTTAGCTCGGAGACGCCATTGTCGCACTTCCAGTACTTGTCGCAGGACGTCTCGTGTGGATAGAAGCCAAAGTCATCCGGACACTTGAAGCTCTGTTGGGCGACAGCTGAAAGAGTGGAGAAAGTGCACAAATTAGACTACAGTGCATAGAAATTTCAAACTAATTGAAATCAATTTGTTGGCATTATTTATGCGAGCGAGGCGTGGAGCCTAATAGGCCCCAAAGTGGCCCCCAGAGTAATTGCATGGCCAATGCCAAATGGCCGGCTAATTGTTACACACATCAACATAAATATACAGGCGCATATTTACATGATACACACACACACACACACACACACACACACGCACACGCGCACAACAATTTGTCAACTTGTGCAAAAGGCATTCACTTTAAAAAGTCGTCCCAGACGATGGCTGCCAATAAATCTTGCTGGCAACTTTCAACAGACAGCTCTAGAGATCTGAGATACACACACACACACCAGTTCACACACACACACACGTGTGTGTTGCGTTGACAGCTCAGGGCCAACTGCATTTACTTTTTGCGCTGGCTGTTGTTTCTCTTTTTTGTTGTTTTCTGTACTTTGTTTTGGCGATGAAATTACAGCGTCACCGCCGACAATATCGACATCCATACCGAACCCTGTGCGGCTGGGTTGAAGCACCTGAAACGCGCCACCAAGGACTTATCGTCGCCTCTAGCTCTGTCTGCCCCCTGCTGCTCGCCCCTCAACCCTCTTGCCGTATGAGCTTAGTGCAACCGCACAGCGTAACGAACTAAATTGCATTTATATACCCCAACTAATGCGGTATTTTTTAGCCTACACTCGGCAATGCATTTGATTTTATTTTATTTTATTTTATTTAATTTCGTTTCACTGCAAATCGAAATCAAATGGCAGCAGCGGCAGCCAGCAAATAATTATTCACGTTTTTAACATTTGCCAAACGAATTCGCAACAAAATGAACAAATGCAAGTGTCCTGGGCCCTAGACCGCCCTACCCCCGCCCCCGACCTTGTGTGATAATCTAATTGCAAAGCCGCAAAACTGCGGTCGGGCTACAAATGCCCAATCAGAAGTGTAGCCTGCCACACCTGCCACGCCTCCCCAGGAGGGCGTCACCACATGAATGGGGCCAAAAAGATTGGCAAAAGAATAAATAAATAAATATATGTGGGGGGGGAAAAAAAAGGATACTAAGCCTGAGGCAACACTTGATAAACCAAACAACATGCAATTTTCATGTTGTGTAAACTAATCAAATATCAAATTTAATATACATAAAAGTTTGTTGTGCACAGAACAGAAATCAAAACCGTTGGCGATTATCAAATTATTTGCAGAATTTAATTAAAAACTTTGTTTTCATATGGAATTTATTTTGTGTGTGTTTATGTGTGTGTAAACACACTCATCAACTGCACACACACACACACACACAGACACACACACTCACATACCTTTATAAATTTGGGCTTATATTTATTATTTGAACTTTTGGTCAGCGGGTCAGTTGGGAGCAGTTAGTCAATTGCATTATAAAGTAAAATAAACATGATCTCCCCCTGACCTTTCACTTGTTTGCTCTAATATTGTTAATTATGGAGATATTTCGATATAGTCAGTAGTCAGTTTTTTGATTAGCAAGAGGTTAAGTCAAAATATGAATTTTCAATTAATTTTTATATGAACTTATTTGAGAAAACAATTTAAATATAATTTTAATATAATTTTAAAGTAGATCTGAGCATAAAAAATATATCTTCTAACAATTTATTTATGTTAATTTTGCATAACCTTATTTCTCTGAATTGGAGTTTTGCTTGAAAACAAATTAAAACTTTTCGTAAAAATATTTTGAGGTTGGGTAATAATAAAGTAATAGAATCTCACATAACTTTATTTATTCTTGCCAGTTTTTTATGCTTTTTAGTTTTAAATATAAACAAACAAAAAATGACTTTTTGCGGCTCTAACTATTAAAACAAGAGTTTGGCAGACAGCAATTATTGTGAAATATAATAACAATTTACTTTTTGCAATTTGGCCTGTTTATGAGTTTTGGGAAAAACCAAAGATAATAAAGATTTTATGCACATACAACTTGTTGAGTAATTTTCAGGGCACAGTTTTTGGTTACAACAGAAGCTCTAATGCTGCTGCTGCCCAGCGCCAGCTCAGGTGTGCCTGCAAACGCAATGCCATTTCAAACAGGCACTTTCAAGCACTTAGCAGCTGAGCACACAGTGAGAGGGGGAGATGGAGAGAGAGGGACTCTCTCGCATATGTACACACAACATTTAACAACTAACAAACAAAGCCAAACTCTCGGAGTGTACGCAGCCAACAGTTATAATAATTTAGTTTTGTTGTTGCAACAACTGAAGCAATGCACAAAAAGCGCAATTCAACCCAAGTGCAGCACCAGCCCCAGCCCCAGCCCCAGCCCCAGCCCCAGTCCCAGTCCCAGTCCCAGTCCCAGTCCCAGTGCCAGCCACAACTGGCAGCCCTCTGAGGCAAACAGGCAATAGAAATGCGTCATGGCGAAGGGGCATGGCATGGCCTCTGGCGGCAACAGTGGCAGCCACAGCAGCAGACCGCAGCACTAATGCGCTTACATATGTACACACTGTACTGCCATGCCCACACTGATGATTACATTCAGTTATGTATAGATGTGTGTGTGTGGGGTGTGTGCATTTGTCGCGCAGCGTAAATACCACATGTTAACTAAACAATTACCTTTGAGCAGCTGCTGCTAACTGCTGGCCCAACTGGCGTATACGCAATAAATTTGTAACATTTACCAAAGTAGAAAAGTGAGCGGCTTGCTCTAATGAAAATTAACTGGACATTGATCAGAATGCCGCTAAAGGGCGCTAAGTACTGTTAATTTCCCTAAGCTTTTATATTTTTAAAAATTTGTATTCCTCAAGAAATTCTATCAAGCATATGCATACAAAGGCTTCTTAAATGTGAGCTCTACAATTTCTTCTTGATTAAAACCTCTTCCTTTATTATTATTTTTATTTTTTTTCTGCTTCTGTTCTCAGTAGTAAAGAAATGTTTACCACATGCATATAAATTAAGAAACCATTCTCCGATTTGGATGCTTAATTTTAAGCGTATCTTCCTTGGAATTTCCTTGATTGATTTTATAAATAACAATCGACAACAACTGATGTCATTTCTGGAATATTTTAACTGCTAATTAATTCGTTCTAGAAGCTGCCCCGCTAAATGAAAACGAAAGCAAAAACTCAATTCTAGGCGGCATTTGAGAACCGGTTGGACAAGAATCGGGCACATTTGCACATTTGCCACATACCTACTACTGCTAACCCACTCGCCGGTGTCTGAGCTGTGCTGTCTCTGGGTTCTTTTGGGCGACATTTCCGGTCGGCACGCCCTGCATTTTAAATATGGCACACGCCTTAACTGGCCAATTGGCCAATCTCGTAAATTAGCGGGCTTTACTTGGCCAGACTGATTGCCTTGCCTTGCCCTGCCGCATGTTGCATGTTGTTTAATTTGCTGTTTGCAATAATTGTTTTATCTATCAATTTTGAGCGCTTAATTACGTTTTTTATTTACAGTTTTTTGTAAACAATATAGCTGTGTGTGTGTGTGTTTGTGTGTTTGTTTTAATAATAAATTTGTATTGACATTTTAACAGTCAAACCGCCAATTGTATTGGTCTTGTCGGTTGAATGCATATCATTCCTCTGGCTGTTGTTTTTGTTGTTTTTTATATCTACTGCTGTTCATCCGGTCGTCCATTAACATAATCATTTAATTAACCAAAACTGTACACACACAAACACACACACACACAGGCTGATAAAGCGCCTCATAATGCAGAAATTAATAAATAAAAAGCGCAAGACAAAAAAAAATATAACTATATATGAAATTGAATTAATTTATGTTTCACCTAAATGACAGACATTGTCAAGATGCAAATAATACAAATAAATGAATAATTTAACTTAAACAATGAATACATTCACAATTTGCAACTACATTATTAATTCACAACAATGCCAAATGATATGTGATATGCACATGGCAGAGCATTACATTTATTATTACAGACACCGCTCCCCGCCCCCCTCGCCCGCCAGTCAATTAATTCCCAAATGGGGCGGCGAGTGAGAGTTATAATTGTGCAATTTATTTAATTATCTAGTCGTACGCCATATCGCAGGGTAGCTAAGGTGAAAATAATATATATATAAGTATATATAAAAGGTAATCCTTCGGACTATCTTTAGCTCACAAATATGCTTGGCTTTTCAAGGAGAGTCAAGGCTATTCTTTCGAATCCCAGAGCTTGCAGGCACTGTACCTCTCCTATGTATATATTCGTTCCTTTTCTATGTCACTTGTTTTAAACAATAACTCTTTAGCCGTGCGTTAGCCTCGATCCTTAAGCCAAGTGTGCTCAGCACTTTCTATCTAAATGCGATAAATCTTGCTTCGTTAAAGTCGAATTTTAAAAGAAGAAGAATATCGTTGCCTAAAATAAGCTCTGAAGTCAATTGAAGTTGAAAATAAATGAATTGAAGCATGTAAACAAAATCGGACCTATGCATAATGATCTCGATGGGAAAGGCAGCCAAGTCTATACGCACTCAGATTTACTATTGCAGTGAATCAAGCATTAAGGGTAGTCCATAAAAAAATTCTAAGGCATAACAATTTAAAAATCGAAAACAATTTCGAAATGTTGCACAAGAAATAATTGTTTCTTCCCATAGAAAAAACAGGCTGTAATTTATAAGAAAAATAAAACAAATCGAATTTAATATTCGTTTAAGCTCAAACGATATTTCAGTTAGGATCTCAATTAATTGGAACGCAGACAAACTAACTTGTGGACGTGTCTAACCTTTTGTGGTTAAGGATCAGCGCAGTCTGAGCTAAGCCGTAGCTCGATCAAGCCATTCATCAATTGGCCTGTCATCTTATGGCATTCCTTTCTAGATGCATATCACATTTTTTATGGCTACGTGTCCTGCAAATGATATCATGACAAATAATGACAAATTTGCATTTCATGTCATGCAGACTGCTGCAGCTACAGTTGTGACTCATAAATATGAAAATCAACAGAGTGCAGTTCAATGAACTAGAAGTGCACACACATACACACACAGACACGCACACCCACTCGAAAGGCAACAAATTCCAGCGAAAAACACTTGAAGCCAACTGCTGAGAGTTTCCCTGCCAGACCTCTGCCAATGTGTGTATATATATATATATATATATATATATGTATTCCGACTCATAATCGTTAGCCGCAAGAGCTGCAATCAGAGCTGTGGTTGTATTATTTTGCTACCTTCACAATAGGTGTTTTGTGGCACTTGTAACTATCTATCATTTGGGCTTGTTGTTGTTGCTTGTGTTGTTGTTGTTGTTGTTGTTGTTGTTGTTGGCATTGTTGTCTGGAGGCCCTGCTAGCGTCAAGACATTGCCGGCCATATAAATCAAGAAAATTGCTGACATTTAAGCACGTTTCATTTCATTTCGTTTCGTCTCGTTTCGTTGTTGGCCCCACTTCGGCTTTGTTGGTATTTACCTAGCAACAACAACAACAACAACAACAACAGCTCTTTTGGCGGCATTTCCGCTAAATGTTGTTGCCTTCTTGGGGCGCTTGTTCTTTTTGGCCAAAAACAGTTTTTGCCCTATAGCGCCATAATGATATTTAAATATTTGCCCACCTAGCTGCTGCCGGCATGCCACATATGTGGGTTAATCTGCCTTTCAATTGTTTGCCTAATGTTGATTGTTGTTGTGTGTTGTTGTTGTTGCTGTTGTTGCTGTTGTTGCTGCAGCGGTTGTTGTTGTTGTTGTTGTTGTTGAGAGCTGGCGCGTGTCTTGTGTGCGTCATCCGTGTCATATATTCGAATAGTTTCTGACGCGTCACATACTGAGCCACAAATCCGTCTTAGCCCATGTGAGCCGCGCGCCGAAAAAGTTATAGATTTATTTTTCAAATTTAACGCTTCGGCGACAGCCTGAGCTGGGGCCAAAAAAAAAAAAGGAGAAAAAATACAGAAATGTGGCACGCAAATTGACTTTCGAGTGGCGTATTTTTATTTGTATATACATTTTTTCTTTCTGCTCGCATTTGTTGTTGTTTTTAGTTTGGGCCAAGCCGCGCGCTACACTTGCCTGGCCCCATAAATCAGCGCAGATATCCAGCTAATGTGTGTGTGTGCGTGTGTGTGTGTGTTTGTTGTGCCACTAATGCAAGCTATAGCTCGCGCAGCTGGGTGTGTGTGTGTGTGTGCGTGTGTGTTTTGGCCATTTCGTTTGATTTTGTTGCCACAAAATAAAAACTTTTCAAGCGTGACTTGCTGCTGCTGCTGCTGCTGCTGTTGTTGTTGTTGCTGTGGTGTGGCAATAACAAAATGGCAACACACACACACACACACACATATATATATTGTTTGCATTTGTTACGCTTTTTCTGCTGCTGCTGCTGCTGCTGCTGATACTAAACCGCAGCAGCCAGCCAATGCAAAAATCCAGCAGCAACAACAACGCGCCACAAAAATAAAAAAAAGGGGCGGCAGGCGGGGGTTAAAAAAGTCGCGCAACCGAATGCGGAAATTTATTGTGTTTTGCATCGCTTTTCGGAAATCTTTTGAACGCTTAAATTGTTTATCGCTGTGATTAGCATGCTTGTGGCAACATTTGGGCCAAGTGTTTGCCCATTTGGCCAGTTGCTTTCGAGTGGCCCGCCGAGCAACAGTTGCTGCTGTTATGCAACAGCAGCAACAGCAAAAACAACAACTTGAACTTGACAATGCGTTGCTTAGGCCCATTAAATGTTGCTCTTGTTAAGTTTAATAACTTTAAAATTGTTTTGCCAATTAAAAGTAAGACAACAACAAAATGCATAGCACGCAATTTGGCCAAAAGTGATTTTTTTTTTATTTTGCCTTTTTGCTCTTTTGTTCGCCTGTTGAAAAAGCGTCAACAATGTTGCGGCTAAAATCACTTTGATGGCCCAGTTGAAACGAGTTTTGTTAATGGGCCAACTGGGCGTGGCCACAGCAGCTGCTGCTGCTGCGTATTTAAAATTCCTGCGCCAAAACAAAAAAAAAAAAAAAAACAGATAATCGCGCAGCAATCTTTTCAATTAGCCGGCCTGAAACGTGTTTCAAAAATTGTCAGTTTTTTGCGCAAATATTGGAAAAGCATTTCAATGTCAATGTCATGCAAATGTGGCCAAAAGTTGCCCAAAGATCATTAATAACAAAGATGATAATGATGCTGATGATGATGATGATGATGTAAGCGATGCAGCCAAGCTGAACCCCAGCCGTAGCTCTGTTGCAATTTCTTGTGCACTTTTTAAGGCGTCGCCTCGCGATGAGGTAATGAAATCGAAGCGAACCAATAGATACAGATACACAACAGCTACAGATACAGATAGTCACTCATAGATACACCAATCGAGTGTGTGTGTGTGTGTGTGTACAGAAAATGCAAGTAAACGTCAAGTCGGGAATTGCTGCAACTTAGCCAACTGCAGCTCGATTACGCTTACGGTTTGCATTTGGATTTTGCGCCTTCGCTTTTTTTTATTTATTTAGTTTTTTTTTTTTTTTTGGGTTTTTCATTTCGTATTTTCCGCCTGCTATTGGCCAAGTTGGTAAAAGTGGGCCAAGCTGGGCCGGATAGTTGATCATAGCCACCCGATCACCTGTTGCACAAGCGCCCGCTTTTATAACACATTCGATTTCAAAAGTCACATTTTGTATCTTTCTTTTCACTGGGCCGCTGAGCATATTGTCAAGTGTCCTTCAGCGCGAGGCTGATTGCGTAAGAGAGAGAGAGAGAGAGAGAGAGAGAGAGGGGGAGAGAGAGAGAGTTTGGGCTCCTCGAGCGTGATTTCTTCTCTTTATACTTTTGCTTTCTCTTGCTCTTCAACATCATATAACTAACAGATAATACATACCGGCTCCGAATAATGCCACAAATACAACTATAAATTTCTTCATTGTGTTTTGCTGTTGTTGTTGTTGTTGTTGTTGTGTATTTGGTAATAACGCTTTTAACCGTTGCTCGACGAAACGTAACCGAATCTTAAAGTAGAGGGGGGTAGGCAGGCGGCTCGCAGCACTTGAACAAAACTTTGATATAGCGCACCACTTGGACCGACGACTTGAAACTGTGTGTGGCTGTGGCTGTTGCGGGAGCTTTTTATACCGCTGCGCATGCGCGCCAGCCGCGAACAATCCAGAGAACGCCGACGCTGACGGCGGCAGCGACGCTGGCGTCGGCTGGCGCTGACTGCGCCGCTCGCAGCGACGGCGCACGTTCACCGACAACCGACGTTTGCAACGGTACCCCAGCAAGCGGCGCAGGCAGCCATGCGGGGCTCATAGCAGTCAGCTTTGTTGTGTGTTGCTCACAGTCGCTGCTTCTCTCTCCCTCTCTCTCTCTCTCTCTGTCGCGCCCGTGTGTCTTGGCCATCTCTCTTCCTTTCGCTGGCGCGCTGGCTCACTCGCTCTCGCCTTCGCTCTCCCTCGCTCTCACAATATTTCACCTATGTATGCGCTCGTGTAATTGTAATTGTAAGCGACGCGTTGCTTTTAACTGTAAGTTGCTTGTTTTGTATGCACGCAGCGCACTGTCGCGTCGCCTGCGTCGTTAGCAGCGCTGCCAGCGTCAACGTCAGCGTCACACTAGACAAGCATTGTTGTATTTCGGCTGGCGTTCAATTGATCTGCTGCGTTACGTTTTGCACTTTGAGGCGGGGGTTGCAAATGGAATTTTATACCTGAAAGTTCAGCGAGTGTGTGTGTGTGTGTGTGTGTGTGAATGTGTGTGCGTGTGTGTGTAGGCAACTAGCATCTATTTCGAGTTGTTGTTGACGCTTGTAGCTAATTATGGCCTGGGACTCTGGGCGAGTGCTGCCGGTCTCAGGGCACGGCTTCTATTTACCTACCCAAAAAAACCGAATTTCATAGTTGAACTTCACCTCATTGGCTGCATAGATTGTTTGTGTGTGTGTGTGTGTGTGTTTGTGGGTGTGTGCGTGTGCATTGTCTGTCTTGCGACTGAGTCATGCGCCTGGCATTTCTAGCAAAAGCTCTAGGCGCATTGCGCATACGCCGCGTTGTCTGTGTAGAATGTTACTTTTATACCCTTGCAGAGCGAGCTAAAGTTGGTCACGAAATGTGAGCGCTGTGTATGATACACTCTCACACACACACACACATATAAACGACTATAAAAAGTATATATATTATATATTATTGAACAGTTTCAACAGACAAATGGAGAACAGGAATATTTTGTTTTCGTGCAAACTAGTTTCTCAATTTTGAAAATAGCTGGACGAGCTGATCAGATCCCTATATTTGTAGACAACCAAACTTAAGAAATCTTGTTCAAATACATCTATGACGAATTTCTTTATAATTCTTACTTTTAACCAAAAAAAAAACCCTACAAAATCGGATTACTATACGATTTAATTGTTTGGGGTTTAACTATTTACGTTTCAAGATTCATAAACTAAACTTAGAAGTTTTTAATATAATAAAAAACAGAAAGAAACATAAATGGATAAGTTGTAAAAAAAACCTATTATTATTTTCCAGATTTTCTTAGCTAAACTCACTCGTAAGATCATTAATATTTATAGTAATAGCAGTTATTGCTTAACTCCAATCACTTTCTCATTGAATCAATTACTCAGCAATGCCCCTTTAAGCGCAATATATTAAGTGCTTGGCAAGGAGGGTATTAATTCTTTGGCCCACCGAAGTCAGCTATTCAATGCGTCTGTCAATTGACTCAGCGCGTTATATTAAATGTAAATCAATGCAATTAACATGATTTCTTAATGTAAAAGCAATGTGATGGTCAACCGGTGGCCGGTGCAATGTATGCAATTGATATGCCGCCACGCTCGCATATAAACAAATACGCACTCATTGCCCGGGGCTGGCATTAAAAACAGGCCGTCAACTGTCGATGCGTGCAAGTAAAAGGTAGGCCAGCCAGTCGCAGTCGCCGCCGCAGTAGCTGTTGCAGTTGCAATAGCAGTTGCAGCAGCAGCAGCAGTAGCAGTAGCAGCAGCCGCTGCAGCGGCTATTAAAACTGACCCAGCGCGGCGGTCAACGACGGCCACTCAACGGCGCCGCTTGCTAAAAAAAAAAAAAAAAAAAAATTGTAAATGTGTGCAATTAAATGCAAGAAATGTGATTCAAGGTTTCGGAATGCAGGAAGAATATGAAATTACAGTCAGAGACTACAGCAACAAGAGGCGGCTTTGCAGAACAATTACAGCTGCCAACGACTTGTGACTACTGCAAATATTTTGCAGTCAAGAGTTGAGCTGGGTCCGGGCTGGCTTCACTGTGTTATTGAAGTGGTCTCTAGAAAACTTGCGGCTGCCCACAGTGCCAGACAGCGAACCAGTTTTAGAAGTGCAAAAAACGACAACAACAGATAAACACAAACTAAGCTACCTTGTCAGTTATGCTTTCGCTTTCAATAGCTGCCAACGATGCAGTTAGTAGCTGCTGCTGCTGCTGCTGCTAGTTGAAGTATGCATGCATATTATATTATATACAGAGCATAAATAAAAGGCCACTGCCTATAGCCATTTTAAGTTAAAACATATTGTCGTAGAGCTGAAAATCTAAAAGTCAAAAATTTGTTTATACTCTGACAAAGGGTATATAAACTTTTCAAAATTCTAAGAAGAATTCATAAATAATTGTCATTATAATTATAATTATAATTACCATTAGCATTAGCATTAGCAGTAGCATTAGCATGCGTCTTCAAATTATCATTAGCATTAGCATTAGTATAATATAAAATTATTAGAGTGATTATTTATATTATTATAATCATTATAATTATTATTATTGTTATTCATATCATTAATATATATTTTTATAATAATTATTTTATACATTTTTCGGCAATGAGCATAATATTTACGGACCGAATACTCGTAAGTACTGAAATCAAAATAGTCTGGTCTTATGATCGTCTGGATCTGGTCTGTCCCTCTTGTTGCTATGCAAATTGAGAAACTGAAAAAATCCAACATGAGAAAGCGTATAAAAACTTCGGTATAACGTTTGCCGAAATTTCTTGCTTGTTTTATTTGTTGCACCCGAATTTTAGGGTTTGTTTGGCTAGCCCCCCGCCAAAATAAAAAAGGCATCCAAAACTTGTTTGCCATGCAGCTGTCAGACTGGCGTCTGGCCCGTTATAGATCTGGCTGCCTGGCTGCCTGGCTGCCTGGCTGGTTTGCCTGGCATTTCGGGTAGTGTGCGGCCCAGGGCGAGTTATGTGTGTGTTTGCGGCAACGGGGGTCCAATCTAAATTGAATGCCAAATCGTTGAGAATACTTGCAGCCAGCAAGTCGCAAGTCTCATGTCGCAGGTCGCCAACAAATTTGATTGGCCAACATCAGGCGCTCGCTCATAGTAATTTGTAGACAAGAAATTTGCAAGTATTTGAAAAATGCAACAATTGCATCAGCCAGCGCCTTGCCAGCACTTTGCGCAGATTGTGTGAGCCGTGTGGTTTTTAATTGTTGACTTTAGCAGCGACCGTTTGTGGGTGGGTGCGCCGCTGCCAGGTTGACGTCGCATGTGCAACGCGGAAGAAAAGTTGCCCGGCTCGGCGGCCTGGCTTGGCTTGGTTTGGCTTCAACTGGCCTACTCCGAGCTGGGCGCCTCATTCCGCTCACCTTGCTCAATGCATGCCATTCGTATGCTATCAGATTCGTGGCACACACCCATGCATTGAATACCAGGTGTGCATGTGTGTGTATGTGTGTGTGAGGCGCATTCAATTAAGCCAAACGCTGAAGACTTGACCGGTAGTTGGGGCTCGTCCGATTTGGCTGTTGGCAAGTTCTTAGCTCGTATTTAGCAAGTGCATTTCGAAACGGTAATTTGTCGTTAACTGTGGCTGCCGTCGGTTCGTGCGTGGAATCTTTCGTTTGTCATTGCTCAACAAAAAAAAATTGTAAATGATTTAAAAATATATATAAAACAAAATCCGTTAGAACGGGTTTTTATTGCATTCAACTCCCGCACCCAGCAAAGGTATTGCCAACTATATTTATTTTATGTGCGAGTCGGAAATTAGTCAATCGGGGGGAGGTTGAGCTTATGTCTGGCTAAGGTCAAGCATTGACATGTTGTCGTTAATAACTTAACAAATTAAGGCTGAATGCAAATATTTAAATTAAATAACGACCTCGTTAGCAAGTGACCCGAGTGGCTAAAGCAACTTAACTAAAGCCGCGTTGTCGTTTTCGCCATAGCCAAAGGCCGTAGCCATAGCCTGTGCTATTTATAAGATCGTTTGTCTGTGACCATAGTTAATGCAAATAGTTGCAATATAAATAAATGGAGTAAAATGGAAATTAATAGAGTAACAAGAATCGTAAGCTAAATTATCAAATCTTTCAACTGGCAGATTAGCAGCAACGTTAGAATTCGCTTTTAGCTGTTCATTTCCAAGATCTTGTCGTTTATTTATAAAATTTGAATGGGTATTAGCCCATTAGCCACATATTTTATGACAGACTGGCTGACCACAGAGCCGGATCTGCCAGCCAAATCTGCCTGCAATAACAATTTGTACAATTTTCTCGGCCTGTCTGACTGGCCGTAGAGCAGACGTCATGCAGTTTGACTCCGACTCCAATTGGACGCTTATTCAGCTGCAGTTAATTGACCCAACTCCCATATTACAAAAGACCAAAGGAACATTTTGGCAATATGCATCCTAGGCACGGATAAAGTCTAAAATGCGTTTGCTATCCAAAAGAAATTAGGTTACGAGCAAACGAAACTGGGCTTTGTTTAGAGCTGGACAGGTGAATAGTCTGTGTCTCCCTCTCTTTCTCATCGCTACAATTTCTGCAGAAGTCGTATGAGAAAGGGCATCGGCAGTTCCCAGCCTAGACAGTTCACCGGCTCGACAGTTGCCATTGACTTCTCTGTGGCTTGGTCAAACTGAAAAGTGCTGGGCCATCTGGAAAAACTGAGTGTTGTTGGTATTTAAGTAACCTACCTGAGGACTATAGCTCTGAGAATGTGAAGCACGTAGAATTCCTTCTCTTTAACATTTAGATTCTTTCCCTGTGACTATAAGAGAGTGTAAATTCAAATTTGGGTTCTTTAGCTTATGTAGCATGGAAAA